GGGAAATCATGATTATATTACCTTAAGAATATTGCCAGATTATATCTCCATTTCATTTCTGCTGATACACTGGTCCTTATTCAAGGATTTGTGTCATCTAGTTAAACTACTTTTGTAATGCATTTCTCCTCTCTCTGCTCCCTGTCCTTTCTTCTGGTCACCCTGAACATAGAACTAACAAACTTCTAGACGCAGCGTTTTATACCAGCTGAAGTCGGTACTTAGCAACAGTGAGATCATAACTTGAATTTCAGTTCAGTGGGCACTAAATGGGTGTTTTTATAGAACAGCACCTAGGATATGGGCCTAGAAAACATACATGGCAACCTTCCAGTCTTCTGTCTTGCACTTACAAAGAGAAAGCTTTTGAAATTGTATCAGTAAGCCCATCTACATAAGACTAAAAATAATCAAGCCATTTCTCTAGGATTAGGTGACTGATTCCAGCCAGTCAACTCGTAATGCAAGTATACCTGGTTTTAGCCTGATGAGCTTTTACGTAGTCAAATTCTGGAAATAATTACTAGTGAAAAAAATGCAAATTTAATGCTACAGAGTGAAGAACAATTAAGGTTTTCTAAATTTAAATGAGCTTTCTTGGGTTTTAAACACAATATGATTTCAAAGGGAAGACCTTTTTTTTTTTTCTTGTTTCATGCAAATTCACAGGTCTAAAATCAGAATTTCCACAACAAACATAAAGGATCCAAATTGTGGCCCCTTAAATTAGCAGAAATGCTTGCCAGTGCCTTCAGTGGAAATAGGTAGTCAGAAATAGGTCAAGATATTCTCTACGTGAATACTGGTACAGCGTTATTTAAGTGCGTGGAAGATTTCAACATCTTTTGCATTAAGAAAATGAATTGCCTTTTGACTTCATATTCTGGAGATGGAAGAATGCATCTCAGGAGTATTTGCATATGGTTTTCCTTCTGATATCTTAAGGAGGAAAAAAATCATATTCAAAACATTTTTAACACTGGCAAAGAAACTTAGTACTAGAAAGTTGTCCTGACTGTGTGGCCAGTTTTTGTACAAACAAGTTTTCTTACATATAAGACACTTCAACATTTGGATAAAGCATAAAAAATACCTTAATGGATACCATGCACAACAGAGTAGGAACTATGCTAGTCTGAACCCATTTAAACATAGTTTTTCTATGTAAGAAGTAATCATCTTTGTCTGGCCAGCACAGACTCAGTGGAACTGTTTTACATGCTATACTCTATACTAAGTGAGGTTTGTCTTCCAGAGCAGACAGTGACCTGAATTCCAAGGAAAATATTTAGAATTTCATACCAGAACTTGTACTCTAGATTCTTCTCCACAATCCTTCTGTGATTTCTTTTCAGTGTGCTCAAGTTTCTTCTTATTCTGAAATTTATCTTCTACCTGAAGTTTTGATCAGTTCCTTGTGCTTGTGAGATAAGCAGGAACATGCAAAGAAAAAAAAAAAAAGAGAGAATGAAAAACTAAAACCCTATACAAAACCTTGCTAACTCAGAAACAGAAGTGTTGCACAGAAAAGCAAAAGCATAAGACCTAAAACCCCAAAGATCACAAACATACGCTTACATAGATAGCAACTCCAGCCCCCCAAATTGAAAATATTTGGCACCTACTTGCTCATGGGAAAAAAACTTTGAAAAAGACTCTTAGTCGTTAAACCCAGTAGTCTGTTGTGCAGGTAATTGCAATGCAGTTCACTCCTGAAGGGACCTCCTAACTATGAAGGTACTTCGAACTGGTATCCCACAAAGATCTGATCTACTGCCTTTCCTCTAGAGAAGGAATATGGCCTAAACATCTCCTCCTGCATCTCGGCATGGCTTAAAAAAAAGTACAAGCTGCTAAAGCAACTATTCTGTCATAGAGTTTTCTTTCTATGTTACTAGCACTCAAAAAAAGTTCTGGAGCTCCTGCTCTATGCTGTTTCTGTGTATCATACACTGATTAATTCTGGTACATGGCGAGACAAGAGTAGCAATTGCACAGTCAGCAGTTGGATTTCCCTGCCCTGTTTACCTATATAGCTTATATGGAATCACTGCTTTTCTGTATTTGGTATAGGTCCAGGGACTGAGGCATGCAGAGCTCGTGAATTCCAAATGAGTGTTGCTCATGATAACATGATAAAATGAGCAATAATAGAGTATCAGGCTTTTTAGCCACTATTTAAAACCTATGCACCCCACAAGACACATAGAAATGAGCAATTAAAAAGAAAAGTTACCATAGTTTAGCAGCTAAATTAACATATGGGATGCAACGTAACACTTCATGTCACACTCCTGTCAGATATCTGGCTGAATAGTCACCATCATTAGTGCCAACATTTTACACTCCCTTTTAGAGCAATACCACGCTAAGTTGTCTGATCTACTCTGACCTACAAAGAGCTCCTGCAGCACAAGCTGCTGGGACATCTATCAATACACGATCCTCAGCAATAGTTATGCTTTTCTTACTGGTGGGAAAGCACAAGATTCAACATTGAATTGTCAATCACCACTTTCAAGGAACGTGTAGGTTTATTGCTGTGAACGAATAAGCAGGATCAATAACATCCCACTCACTGAGATATAAAAGAGGAGAATGTTCTGCATTGTCCAGGTTCAAGTATTGTGGGCTTCACTCTATTATTCTACAGTTACACTAGTTCTTTCCTAAACTCTGCCTGTCTCTTCCCACAAATACCATATTCAGATCTCATCCATAAGGTCACTGTCACAGCTTCCTACAAAACAGTTTGTTTGTTTTAATAAAGTATTTTTAATGAGTCTTGTTTGTTTTAATGACAAGAAAAGTTGCAAGCTGGGTCTACTAGCAGTCAAATATGTCTGAGTAGTAAGCTTACTAGAAACCATATTCTGGTGTTACCATGGCACTGAGCCACAGCTAATATACTCTGCCTTGATATTGCACTCACCATAGGCAGGTGCCTTCTCAGTTTCTTCAAGCTTAGGCAGCAGGAGCTTACATCTGCTTAAAATCACATAGATGTGCCCCAGTGCATATTTAGTTTAAGGAATAAAATAGCACCTTTGTACCTCCAAGCAGCACACCCAAGTACGTTATAGAAAAACATACCCATATGACTAGCGCCTTTCCCTGAACCCAATTTGGTTATTACTTTCCTTTGTCTAAACACACCGCCTCTAGACAAAGCCAATCTCTTATACATCTCCATGAAACCAAACTCAACAGAACTCCTTACATAGATGGGGCCTTCTGAAATTAGTAGAACTTCAGTAAAAATTACAGACTGCCAAAAGAGTTGAATAAAAAAATCTGTGCCCTTGCATATGTGAACTGTAACACTGGTTTTAATACTATGAATGTATATTTCCTACCAAACAACCTAGTATTAAAGGCAGTTATGCTTTTTTTTTTTTTTAAATTTTACTCCCAGGTGTTTGATATCACACACATGCATACCCACTCATTCCTCTAGTATTTCAATGCACCCCAAATAGGAAAAAAAAGAACCTTCTCCACAACCTATTCAACAGGACAACACTGCTAGCCATAATATACAGACAGAGAAACAGGAGACATAGAAGTCTAGGTCCAAACTGTCCCAAATACTCTTTAGTTCCATGCACCAGATGTAAGTTTTAAGGTTTAATTTTTCAGGACACTCGGCACTCTTAACAGTAAACAGCTCAGTTTCACATGATTTTAGCTGTACTGGTGATGTCAGAACACCAGCAAATTTGGCTACATGCGTGTGATAAATGTTAAAAAATAAATGGCCATCTGTGAACCCCTGACCTACACTACCCAGCATAAAATAGTCATGTAGCATCCAAGATGGGCAGAAAGTAGTCCTCCAAAGCAGCATCCAACTTCCCTAAGCCGAGACCATTCTTTGTCTTCCTGCATCCCTCTGTGCCCATTCCACACTATTCTGCAGACAACTCCTACTGATAAATCCCCAAACACTTTACAACTGTGCAGTGAATAAGGGGGTGCTGGGGAGAAAGCCTTTTAAGAATAGAATTGATGAACACTACAATGGATAAATTATGGTCACACCAATAGCCTAAAATAAGAAACATCCTAACATTTTAGTCCTTTAGCCTTAAAATAGCTAGATTACAACAATCTAATTTTTATATTTAACCATGCCAAAAATACAGAAATTCTACTACAGAGTCAGTACGACTCTGTGCAGTTTGAGTTGTCAGCAGCTTGCCTTCTGCACCCACCAAACAGACCTCACGTGTGTGAATAAACAGAATCAATACCAAACCAGCAAGCATTGAAGGGAGGAAACGTTCTTTGCCTGCTGTTCTCTCTGCTATTTTCTGATAGGAAAGAGAAGTCTTAGGAAGTATGCTGTCCCCCCTACCCTCCCCTGAGCAGGGGACCCTTCCAGATCACTCAACACCCACCTCCACATTTCCCTGTGCCTAGACCCTCCTAATGGTTTTCTAACTTCCTTTACGCTCCCATACCAGCAAACAGAAGCCACTTGCAATTCTCACTCCTCTGCAGAGCAGTCACCTCTTCTTTCTCCTTCAGGACATCTGTGCCTCTAACAGTCAAAGCAGAGCTGATCTCCTCCTTTTCAAGACTTGTATTGGAATCCATATTGGGATTCAAGGAGGAACAATGACAGGGAAGTTCTACGCAACTGCTTGGCTGCAGATGTTGTCTTTGGAGAATGTCACTGCCAAACTCTCACCAGCCTCGTCTAAGAGCATATATAAACTTAGATTTTTTTTTTCAAAGGCTTATACTTAGATCAAACAATGTTCTGTTTTCACAAGAACAGAAAAAAAAATACATTCATAATACAAGGGCAATAATTAAGCCAATTTTGAAGTCCTGGCTTAATGAAAAGGTTACAAAAATATGTTTAACTGGGCAAAATGACAACTTTTCCCTAATCTTGTTCTTGGAATTATTTAATAACTGACAAATTTATAAGCAATTCAAGGCAAGGTCTATGGCAAGTACAATAGGCTTTCCTCTATCTACAGGCATATTCAATATTGGCGTAAAGTCAAATGGATCAACTAAAGTTTAAGTTACAGCATTTTTCATTAAGCCTAAAGTTCTAAATTATTTGTATTTTTATGGGTTCTACCTTGGATTCATGACACCCAAGACATTTCCCTTGAAAACATACGGTAAAAATTACATGTTAAGCAGCTATCATCACTGGTAGGAAATACAGAAAATTTCTTTTCAGTCAGCACATTACCTGTTAATATTATCATGTATTACCCTCCCCAAAAGATTGAAACTGTAAATCCAAAGGCCCAATGTTCAACAGATCTTTGCAAATATTCTTTATGTATCAGAGGTGCTTGAGAACTATAGGTATAGGACAGCTAGATAGGGAAAGCGGGGAGGGTTTTCCACTGCCAAGAAAGGCGTGAGATACAGTCTGCACCTAGTAGTCCAGAACCAGTGAACATTGATCTTGCCCCAGCAACTCATGTCCATATAACCCAAACCCACTTCTAGTGCAGCAGCCTAGTAAGACCAAGAAAGACCAGAGATTACTTTAAGTAAATACTAAAGAACTGCTTTCTTAATGTACACTGTTCTATTCATGCTGTTCTTCTGTCAACGTAATTCTGCTCTTCTGTCAATGTAATTCTACACCTATTAGCAAGACCTCTAGGTGCCAGAATGAATTCCATGAGAACGTTTTTCATCAGAAAATTCCACCTCTCACTTCTCAGTCCTGATCACCAAGTCAAACCTGGAAATGAGGATTCATATATCTTCTAGATATGAAAAATTATAGACTTACTGGAGATACTGCCTCTACCACATGAGAGATACTGCCTCTACTGCATGATGACACTCCAGCTAATGCCACCAGTAAGTGGTGGTAATGACCCATTTTCTTCCTGCCCGTGATGGAGCACTACATCACAATTTCTCCCTTTACTACTATCGCCTTTGCTTTACAGGTGATAACCAGACTTTTCCCTCAAATTAGCTATTTGATTGCCATAAATACAAGAAGCTCAAAGCAACTATTCCCAACTTGTCCTAAATCTACAGTTAGCTGAACAGCAGAGCTGATCTAATCGACCAGTTGTACCAAAAAAGGGAAGCACCACTCTGGAGCTCATTGATCCATCTGTAAGTCCATCTCAGCAGAAAACTTGTTTTTTTGTTTCTTGCTGGGTTAGTTAAACTTAATTTATTTGGGGGTTCAATGACTGCCAGGGGTCAGACAGTGTAAGAAATAGTAGCAGCACTTCCCTCATTCAATAGCAGTTCCTATAGATGTCTTCTGAAACCGCACCCTTAGTTCAAGGTTTGCTGCTATTGCTCGAGACCTGAAGAAGGCCTTGTTTGGTCTGGTTTTTCCTATCACATTACTTGATGTAATAAGAGCTATTATACCTTGAGAGGCCAGAGGTCATAGAAAAGCTCCTCTGTTAC